TCATTACTTACAGTATTTGAATTCATGGAAATTTTAATGACTCAAATAAAAAGTAAATTGAGTTTAATTTTCTGTTTACATTTAATATCATTTCAGTATTAAGCGATAATTTTGTGGATAAAATGTTATTTAATAATTTTCTCTGTGAATCTTATTTATTGTTATTTTCAATTTAATTAGGATCTAATGCGAAAGACATTTTTATTGCATGCTAATATTTTATTGCCAAGATTAGATAATGATTATTTATGGGTATGTTTGGCTAGACTTTCACTATCAATAAATGTGAAAATGAAAATATAAGACAATTAGGAGTTAACGTGACACTTGAGAGTGAGGTCTAATTGATTGTATGATAGATTTATATAATTTATAAGATCTTTATAAAGCTTATTTAACAATAAATGAAAAGTTGTGCACTTTTATCAAAAGTCATGAGTATTATAATTTATAAATTAGTGGCAGACCATGTAAACTTGAAAATAATGTGTTGTATTACTACTTACAGTATATTTCATAATTCAACAAACCTTTTGATAAATTCATTTTGATTTACACTGGACTGGTTAGGAAAAATTGTGATTCACATGTCTAAAATTAATTAACATTTTTATTTAAGTATAAATTGGGTAAATAAAGTACACAATTAAAATTCAATTATCCAAAAGTGGGAGAGAAACAAAAACTGGACTGGTTAGGAAAAATTGTGATTCACATGTCTAAAATTAATTAACATTTTTATTTAAGTATAAATTGGGTAAATAAAGTACACAATTAAAATTCAATTATCCAAAAGTGGGAGAGAAACAAATATAATATTTGTAAATAAAAACACCTTATATAATAATTTTATTTACACGTTGAACATAATTTCGATGCTTATGAAACCTATTGTCTTAGATAATAATAATCATAATAACTTTTATAATAAATCGTGAATTATAGTATTTATATCTCTATACATCTTATATAAAAATCTGTTTTTATAACCAACTATAAGCCAATCATAAAAATCCGAAACATATTATACAATATAAGGGAATATACAATATATTTAATACATTGTATTGTAATAAGACATATGGAAATGCATTCATAATTTGATCAAAAATCTTGAAGTTTACTGCATTGGAAATCGTGTTTGATTGTGAATGCGCTTACAATTTCTTTATAATATATTATATTATATAATAGATTTTCTTATATAAAGCTATATTTATATATAAGAATATTCTTAGTCACGGAATATTCCGCACTCAATGTATTGTGAGTTAGGTTTGCATTGTAATGAATGCTCTTTCACTTAATTCTTGATCTCAATTCTGTGTCTATTATACACCTCCAGACTCAATGCAATTATATTTGACTTTTTTCATGTGCTTTAATTCAAACATTTGTATAATTTTATTCGTAACACTCAAAGGCATTATATTTTGTCATTAAAATTTTAATCCAAATATTTGTTTTACACTAAAAATATATTTTATGTTTTCATTAATGCCGTATGTATTAAATGTTATTTAAAATGGATTTAAAATTCAAGTGTGTTTTCGTCTCGCAATGAAATCTAAATGTATTTTTAGATGAAAAACACTTCCTATGTTCAAAACAAACACTTTATGTTTGTATTAAGTGTTTTCGCAAATTAATTAATTATGTTTGACATTAATTCATTGCTAGTTAACAAACAATTTGTCAGATTTAGGAATATATACGAAACTATCAAATATTAAACATTTTTGTTGTAATTCCCTATTAATAATTAAAAATATCTCTAAAAGGACCCTAAAAATAGGTCTCAAAACTCTGTGACTTTAATGGCCGGCAATAATGGATTATCGGGCGAATCGGTGGACAGGGATTGAGGCGGGGGTTGGCTGTGGTCTATCATGGGCTCCAACTCCTGCTCCTCGGCATTGCTATCCAACGACTCCCTCATCTTCGAGTCCTCGGCCACCACACTCAGCCTCTTCTGACTCCTCAGAGAGGAACTCCTACTCCACAGTTGCTGCTCGTTCGTGATGTCCGTCATACTATTATTGATGGTCTGGCACATGAGCATCGGTAGCCCGGGCACACTCATGATGTCACTGTCGGGCGATTTCATTTGAAAATAACTCTTGTCTTTGTTGACGGGTAGGGACGGCCTCTGGGTCTGCAGTTTCTCGACTGCGCAGTTACCCACGGATGAGCTCCAGGTGCTGGTGCGGGCCCTGAGAAATATCTGCGCCTTACGGCGGGCCCACTCGCGTATGGAGTCGGACAGGGAGGGCACCCGTCCTAATAGTAACACTATAGCGCCGTCCAGTGAGCACAGGGTCTGCGACACGTCTTTCTGATTGCTTTCGCGGACCTTTCAATGAGATGTCACTCGCAGTTAATATAGAGTTTTATCTGTTTTTTCATGAAATGTTGTCTAATTTTATTGATTACATGTTTGCCAATCGTTTTTGTTATATACAATGTATTTGTTTTAGTATTACAAGTGCTGAGAGAAAACACTTTTTTGTCAATAAAATGACATAAAGTCGCTAAATATTAAGTGCTAACGGAATGTATGCTTACGTTTTGGCCATTAATCTCAAGAATCTGGTCGCCCTGTGCTATGTTTTTATGCTGTCCGGCGATACTGTTTGGTTGCTAACCATACATGAGATGCCATCACATAGTAACACAAAAATAAAGTAATCAAAAAATTAGTGTAAATTTAATTATTAAAAATGATAACATAATTAGTAAATTGAGTGCAAACTCTATGAGCATAATGTACGGAATATTCTGTTGTGTGTGT